CAGGGGAGGGTGAGGTTGGCCATGAGGAAAAGGTTCTTGAGGCAGAGGGTGGTGGAGCACTGGAACAGGCTCCCCAGGGAGGTGCTGATGGCACCAAGCCTGACAAGATTCCAGAAGCATTTGGCCAAGGCCCTCAGGGACATGGTGTGAATGTTGGGATTGTCCTGTGCAGGGACAGGAGTTGGACTGGGTGGTCCTTGTGGGTCCCTTCCAGCTCACAGCACTCTGTGATTCTGTGATTCTATGAGTCAGGGTGGCTCGTGGTGCTTAAGGGACTTTCTCACACTAAAATGAGATGAAAGGGGGTTTCCTTGGCGTCCCCCCGTGTTGAGGGGTCTCCAGGAGCTTTTCCAAGGTGCGTGTAGCTCCATTAATGCAAACTGATGTTTAGCAAATCCTCTCCAGATGGTTCATGAACCCCAGCTGTCAGTCACCATCAGACCCCAAGCAGCTCTCCCACCCCTGGTCATACTCAATTCGTCCATTGCCATTAACCTCTACCAGCACCACCACCTGCCTGTGCCCGGCCGCGGCGTGGGCTGCGAGGGGTGGGGAGGGGATGCTGGGCTTGGGCATCGCTGGCTTTAGCTGCTCCAAGGTGATCTGGGAATTTCATCTTTCCCCTTTTGAGTCTCACGTGGGAAGGCTCAGCGAGTTGAAAGGAGCCAGTGCAGAGCTGGCAGCGGGATGGGATGTGGTGTCACCAGCTGAGTATCTCCCAAGCAGGATGGTGTGGAGAACATCTCCAGCTTGAGAAATCCCCCGAGCCCATGGCAGAGTCTCCAGGGATGGGTGCTGAGCACCCGCCTTGCTCTCCTGCTCCTCTCCAAAGTTCCTGCTGCTTCCCTGGGCCATCTGGCAGGAGCAGGCAGAAGTTAACGGCGCTGGTAATTAAGCAGAGGATGGCTTATCAAGGCAGCTGTGGATCCTGCCATGTGAAATGGTTCCAGGGGGAATTCTGCTCCTAAAGTCAGCTCTGGTTTAGCTAACGTCATGTGCAGCTCTGGCTTGCTGCTGGCTGAGGAAAATTTGTTTAAAACCCTATTTCTCCATGTCTGCCCACCGCTGTGCTCCTGGCAGGGCAGAGTGGAGGCCAGGGGTTATTTTACCACATCACTCATCTTTTTTTTTTTGAGCCGCTTTGCTCGGTTTTGAGGTTGGTGGGAAGGGATGGGATGGAGAGCAGACACCTCGGTGCACAGCCAGAGCATCCTTCCCATCCACGGTGGGTTGTTTCTGAGCTTTCCTGCCTTTCCTGCAGCGTTTGCGGGGGCACGTTGTACCCACAGCAAATATTTTTAAAGCCAACGAACAGGGCACGTGGCTGCACATCCCTGTTGAGGGAAAAATCAAAAGAGAGGGGTGGGAATCGAATCCCCAGCTGGTTCTTACCCCCTTCTTCTCCTCTCCTCTCCTCTCAGCAAGATACATCGGCTGCTACGTGGACAGCACTCGCCGGCGAACGCTGCGCGGCGTCTCCTTCTTCGACTACAAGAAGATGACAGTTTTCCGTTGCCAGGACAACTGTGCTGAGCGGTGGGTAGGGCTGGAGACGGGCACCACCTCTGCATCCATTCCCACACATCACCAGTTCCCCTCCCCTTCCTCCCGCCTGCCTCCTGTTTTCTTTAGATTTATGTCATTTGGAAGATTTTTTTTTTTTTTTAATTTTTTTATTTCACTGGTGTTTTCCAGGACCCCAGTTTCCTCCCCTGGAAAAAGAATGGGGGATGATGGGCTCCATCCTTGTATTCTCAAAGATTATCCAGT